AAAAAAAATAGATCTACTCTATGATCCAGCAATTCCATCCCTAGGGATCTACCCAAAAGGATACAAAAACTCCAGTTAGAAGTGATGTATGTACTTCTGTGTTCACTGCAGCATTAATTACAATAGCCAAATTATAGAAGCAATCTAAGTGTTCAATGACAGGCGAATGCATAAATATGAAGTGATACACACACACGATAGAATGACAGCTATACGAGAAGATGATGACATCTTGCCATTTATAAAGCATGGATGGAATTAGAAGGACTTATGCTAAGTGAAATAAGTCAGAAGGAAGAAAGACACTTATCAGTTGATTTTACACATACGAGGAATATACAGAAGCAGGAAAACAGGGGAACCCAAACCAAAACAACCCCTGCAATCTGATTGTGCAACTGAGGCTACTGGAAAGGGAGGAGAAGGGAAGGGAACCAAGCAGGGAGGAAGACCAGGAGACTATGCAGAGGATTTGGGGACTTGGTTGGTGTGGTGTGACACTGTGCATTTATAAAAAATGAGAACTTATGCCCCTAAAAAACATATACAGTGTTATAAGCCAATGTTACCTCAGTAAACATAATTTTAAAAATCAGGCAAACAGGCCCTCCCTGGTGGCGCAGCGGGTTAAAGCACAGCACTGAGAATCTAATAGCCACTTCCGCATGAGTTCGATTCCTGCCTGCCCGGGAGGTGACCACATGGCGTGGCAGACCGCTCCTGACCCGCCTGCTGCTCCCCTCAGCAGTGTACTTCGTCTATCTGCCTGTTCTGCTCCCTGCTCTGTCTCTGGTGAAGCCTCTCTCCGCCCCTGAGCCTCTGGCCTGTACCCCAGTTCTGTATGTACAAATAAATGAATCTTTAAAAAAAAAAATCAGGCAAACAATGAGAAACCTCTCACCTCTCAAAAAGAGCTGCTTTAAGGTTTAAGTTAAAGTGTAATAATATAGATTCTTGTTAAAAATGTGGTTCCCTTGAGAAAGCATTGAGGTGGTCTAAAGGAGATTAGCAATCTGAGCTGTTTTTTTAACCTGAGCATAATCTTCCAATTTCAGTTTTTTGCTTCTAAATGCTTATTCCATGGCTTCATCTTGATCTCTATTCTACTGATTGTTCCATTACTCCATTCTTGCCTTATCATTATTTCTGTCTCGTGTGTGTGTGTGTGTGTGTATGTATATTTAT